TTAAAAAAATACTTAACTCATCTTCTTAAACTATATACATATATCCATAATACACCGACTGATTTTGGTTACTACCTATGGTGATAGGCAAAAGTTTTATTAGAAATATGTGCGTTATACTATAGATATTATTTTTTAAAAAATAGATAGTTGCGAAAGCAAATGTAATAAATATAAGTGAATGATATCTTGCCGATATTTAATCGATAACAAGGATAGTATAAAAAACTGAATTAGTCTACTTTCTACATTCTTGAAAATTAGTTACTTGCTTACTAAATTACTTACGCCTGTCACTCAAAATGGAGCATAGGCCGACAACCAGCCTTCTCCAACCCATTCTGTCCTGGGCCTTCCTTTCCACATCTATCCAATTTTTGTTCATTGTTCTCATGTTTGTCTCCATTTCTCGACGTAATATGATCTTTGGTCTTCCTCTTTTCCTTTGTCCTTGAGGATTCCATATGAGGGCTTATCTTGTGATACAGTTGGGTGCTTTCCTCAATTGATGTTATACATTAAATATTCTCAAAGATTAAAACTCAACAACTTTAGTTCAATAAAATGTTAAGATTTATTAGTATGATTATTTAAAACAGAAAATACAGAAAGCTCTCATGTTCGCGTGTGAAATCAGTGATTCTTGGTTCGAGTTCCGCATGCGAAGTCATGAATGCACACTCCTGAAAAGTCCCATACTGGTACAAAACAACCATCCAGGTTGTTAGTGATGGTTTAGCTTAAAACAACTCATAAATTCAACTATTAAAATGAAACACAGAATATGGAATGTGTTTTTTTTGTTTAATTAGATACTACTTAACGAGTTACCATATGATTATAGGTTTTACTTTAAATTTTACATCATAAATGTTAATTTTAACAAACCAGTATATTACGCTTATTATCAAATATAATTACTATATTATTCAGTTAGCTCATAATGGAATCTTATCAGTTCATACGTTGTTGTTTTTTAATAATAAGAAATTGACATTTCAATATTAACGAATCACTTTAATATTGGAATAACATTAATTAAAACGAAATAGATTATTTAACAAACTATATACTATACTAGATAGTTGACGTTAGAATTCAATACCAATAACTACTTATATAGGTTATATTCATCACTATTTGATCATATTTCAGATACTATTAAAAACCTTTTTGATTAAAGTATGTAATTGCTTATCAATATACACCTATAATCATTCCAGTGATCGAACTTAAAATCTTTACATCTCACATTAAATATTATAAACCAAATTTATTCAATTTACACTTGTAATTTTCATTGATTGAAATTATGAGTCAACTGAAGTTAGACCACCATGGAAAACCTGGAAGCACTGGATGACCGTTTCATCCTAGTATGGGGCTGCTCAACAGTGCGCATCCACAATCCCGCACCCCGTGAGATTCGAACCCAGGACCTATCGGTCTCGCGCCAGGCGCTTAACCTCGAGGCCAATGAGCTGACCGGTATCCAAGGGTGTTAATATCTAACTTCAACTAATCCATGAAGTTGCGCCACCGTACACCATTGTCATCAGTGAGCTGATATCTCACAACATACCTGGTTGAACTCCACTGGTAACGGCTTCTCACTAGAACTCCAGGAGAATCTCTTGAAGTTAGTCACTTGTGAGAAGAGGATTATTATCAGAAGGGATTTTGTGGAGATTTTTTTTAGAAATTTCACTGATTGAAATCATGAGTCAACTGAAGTTAGACCACCATGGAAAACCTGGAAGCACTGGATGACCGTTTCATCCTAGTATGGGGCTGCTCAGCAGTGTGCATCCACGATCTCGCACCTCGCGAGATTCGAACCCAGGATCTATCGGTCTCGCGCCAAGCGCTTAACTTGTAATTTTGTTTTTGTTTATTTTTTAAAAAAAGAACATGATATAGAATTGAATATTCGAAGTAAGACACAAGGTGATATTGTTGAAATCAATTGTTTAATTATAATAAAACAGATGTTTGGCTCCCATAGATTTTTCATGATTTATTTTTATTTCTAAGACAGATGTAGATATGTGTTATTTCATTTTTTTTTCTTCTTTTATGCTTATCAGGTTGTTATTTTTTTTCAACTAGAAATTCTGTCAACATTTATTTTTTGTGTGCGTTCGTGTGTGTGTGTGTACGTGCGTGTGCGTACGTGTGAGTGTATTCTTTAATTTACTCTTTTCAATTAGTTATTACCTCTTTTTAAACGATCAAAATGAAATGAATCATTAATGTAACTTGGTTAGAAATTATTTTTGTACATTTGAAATTGTATTAAAGTTTTTATTCTTTTTAATGTTTATTTCTGTTACAAATAAAAGAAAATTGATTATATTAGTTTATATAAAAATCATTTTAAAAAAATCTTATCGTAGTCATCACCTTAGTGATAAAATTAATTATCCAGTAAGTGACACATAAAAAAAATTATTTTTTTTTCTCTCGAAAAACTAGATCAATAATCAAATATGATCAATAAATTGATTAGTTGTTTTTTTGTTGTTTTTTTTGTTGTTGTTGAAATTCCTTAAACGCTTCCCCATTTACTGTAAGTACTGAATATAAAATCCAATGATATAATTGTATTTCTCATCTAAGACAGTAAATTTATGAATTATGTCATTTATTATTTATGTTAACTACACTTAGTTTTAATAGGATATTTACAATCCCGTTGTAATTTATGATTTCTTTTTTTTATCAATTATTAATCAAACTTTGAACAGTATTTGTCTTTGTTTCACTGTACAATAGCAAGTAACTATTTGCGATCGTAGTCAGGACAAGTTACATTATCAATAGTTTTATAGATCTTCACAGTTGGATTTTTAAAAAAATACTGTTCTAAAAATATTTAGTTTTCATTGATTTATTGAAGCAGGTCTGGATCGGGGTTTATTTTGATGATATTTATATATACTGTTGTATTCCGATAAGAATAATGAATGGTAATTTTTGGGATCCATTTATGGAAAAATATTCTGAGTGTATTTTTATCGTATAATTGTTATGTAACTAAATTGTTCATATTCATGTCCCTGTTATTGTGAGCTTTATTTTGACCTATGAACTATTATTATACGATTTACAATTCATGAATTATTCCCTGTCTGTTAATCGCTACCTCCCTCATTCACAGCCACATCTGGCCAATTCTTGTACAGATGTTGTTTCATATTTCATTGGTACGTTGTGGTCGCTTTGTTTGGTATATAAACTCAGTATGCTTGAAATATAATGATTCATATCTCAGAGGCTGAGACTTGCGTTCTGGACTCAACTGGATGAGCTAGATAGGGAAGAGGGACCAATCAGAACTCTAGACCGTTCTTACGTGTTTACGCGTCTTTGATCCGACTGATAAATTCGCTGCGCTTTAATCTGCAGTGACAGTCACAACATATACTTATTCAATGTTTCATTTATCAAAATAATTGAGTAGCTTCCAAGTTATTCTATGTACGGTAATATTTTACATCATTTATTAAACAGATATCTAATGAATACACAATACACAATTATAAGTAATTAGTAGAAACCCCTCAAACACTAGTTTTATACTCGTTAAAACATACTACTAAAGTAGGCTATTTACATGTCCAATCATGCGTTATCTTCTAAAAAAGTTCAAACATACTAGTCATTTAGACTGGTAACCATATGGTAACATAATCAATAAAGTCTGATTATTAAAAAAATATTAGAAAAACAACATAGTAGGTACTTACTGTTAAATAAATAATCAGATAAATGAAATTTGTATACTGATGTAGTTATTTATAACATTATAATTATCAGTTTGACTAGCTATTCCATTCGGAATTTACTTTAATCATTTTTTTTCTCTAAGTTAGCTCTGTGAATTGAGTAATTTGATATACAGTGCTTGCAATAACAAGTTAACTTTATTTTCATATCATAGTTCCATATGGATAAGTTTCCATTGGAACAAATTCTAGCTAATGTGATCCAATAGGTTACTGGATATCGCCTAAGTATTTAAAGCTTTCAGTTTCAGTATGATTACCGATTATTATTATTATTATTATTATTATTATTATTATTATACAGACACATTCACTTGACAAATTTTAGGTAAGATGAATTATGCGTTATGCAAAACATTTTTAATCACTATCCATATTACATAACAACATAAAATAGGTTTCATTCAAATATAAATCAAAGTACAACAAAAAATACATCCTACCTTGAGGATACACTATTATAAGTCAATATCAGTCGAATAATTTCATCACAGCAATCTATCAATCAATAAGTAAACAGTTTTCTAATACTTGACTCCACGAATCTATCTTCACAACTCTCTCTCTCTTCTTAATTAATAGTAGCTTGTATGTATACAAACAACACTGAAACAGTAGAAATATACTAAAAATGACTAATTGACATTTTTTCAGAAACTGTTTAACTAACTTACATTGTTTATAGCTTCAGACAGTAATGACATTACATAATATAAAGGGTTATTTATTTCAATAGTTGAAATCATGAGTCAATTGAAGCTAGACCACCATGGAAAACCTGGAAGCACTGGACGGCCGTTTCGTCCTAGTATGCGACTCCTCAGCAGTGCGCATCCACGACCTCGCACCTTACGAGATTTGAATCCAGGACCTACCAGTCTTGCGCCAGGCGCTTAACCAACTAGACCATTGAACCGGCATCCATATGTGTTAATGTCTAACTTCAAGCAACTTATTTTCAGCTTATAAATTAAAACTTGTTAACCACACTGTATTTATGTGTGTTTTTTTTCTCATTTAAATCTGTCGATTTGTATAGAAAGAATTTAAGTACAAAAACCTATGCGATACCTTTTAACACTATTAATAATTCTTTATTAAGTGATATAATTAAATAAATTTTTACTTTTAACAGATATACTACTTATAATATTATTATCAACATTACTGAGCTTATTTATTGTAATATAAACCGAAATCAAAGAATAAAATGAACAAATGAACAAAGTTACTTTTTTTATTATCTACATTTAATTTAAGCTGAATAAAGTTTGCTTTACTATATCATTTCTTATTTATAACAAGTAATAGATATTAAAGAAGAGATTATAAAGAGGAATACAAGACAAAAGGCAACTTTCAGAGGACAAAAGTTTCGTGTAAAATAATCCAAGATTTCTCTTTTCATTTATGTATTAACACATAGACAAATAATGAAATATTAGTGATGATAATATGACTAGTAATAATAACCGAATATATATAGATAAATAAACACTTGTACCCCCGAAAAAATCAATCACTGAATATAGTTTATACAATTAATATTGTTTTTCTTTTTTTAGAATAATCACTTAGCAACAAGAAATTTTGAACGAGAATCAGTTATGTTTCAGAAAATTTTAAACAATGACAGCATTTTAAAAAAAAGTTACTTAAACAAATAGATTGACAGAGTTCATTTCATTGTTTGTTTGTTTTGTATTTTTTCAATAATGGTTATTATATTTATTTTGCTATTTGTTTATCAGGATGAAATTTTTGTAAATTTAAAATTAATTGAACACCTTCAAGACAATCTTCAACTTCAAATGTTGGTAAAACAAGATCAGCTGCACCTTGAAAATCACGATGACAATAATGTACTCTTGTTCTATCTGTTGGTTTGTATACACCAGTTCTAACTAATACAGCTTGTTAGAGTAGAGAAAATAAAACAAGTTAAATAAAATTTAAGTAGGTAAAAGTCTAATTAAATGTTCAATTTTTCAGTATGTTAAGTGTTTTTGTAAATCCTTAGTCCATTTTTTTCAGTGACCTGCATTGAAAAACTTATCCTAAAGGCCGGAAACGAACTATTATCATTCTACATCTTTCTACTTCCCATAAATGCCCTGGTACGACCGGGGGTGAAGAAAGTCAGCTTTCCCTCTCACATGGCCACGCGTATAAAACCACTGACAGAAAACTTCTGCTCACTAACTTCTCGCAGCAGGGGTGTTGTTTACGAAATGGAGAGAACGAAAAGAGAAGGTCCGGTGCTTTAGCCGGGTTGGTGGACACACAGGGTTCTCCAGGAAAACCCTGATTTCAAACCAATGGTGTGAATAGGCTTTAGAATCTCGAGGGAACAAACGGGGTATGAACCAATCGTTGATCACCGGCTACCATGAGACTGAATCTCCTGACGTTGAACTACTGCCTTGTGGATCAGACCTTTAGGTCGAAGGCTCCAGGTGTGGCTCCGTTAAAATGACCACCTGCTTCAATTTGTGCATCCAGATAGTGTCACAGCTTACTCATAAATCAAGTGACTTGTGTAGCGCATATGTATTTGGTGCCCTTTTGTATCAATATTTATGTGGTCATATAAATAAATAACTGTACCACTATTATGACCAATAAATTGAGAAAGTTATCACACGGAGCGTTCGTAAAAAACTAGGATTACATTTAATTTAAAACATGCTATTCTCTTTCATAAATTGTACTTTGAATACAGTCTAAGAACTTGTTCAACAATCATGGAGACTGTAACAATTTCGCTACAAAACAAAATACCTAAAACTTTTAAATAACTCAATGAGTTTAATGAGTTAACACTACTTGATTTTTAAAATAAATCATCATTACTTTATCCAAACACAACTTACAATCAATTCCTTTAGCAGTTTGAGGAAGAAACGCTGCATCCGGTGGTACAGTACGTGATTGTGCTACCGATACTTTTTTATATTGACTATGTCCTTCCGTTGGAGACTTATCACCACCGGAGACATGACGAAATCGACGTAAAAAATTATTGTACAGATTTGAACCCAAAACATCAACATCTGGATTATCACTGAGTGGAATAAAATAAGTTTTTAAAAAAAATCACATATCGAAAAGAAATATTGAATTATATATATTAAATTATTAACTACAAACTTACAAATTAACACAAATATAGACATTCAAAGAAAAAAGCTTTGGACTCCACGTACTAATACCTATGTAGATTTATGAGGATATGACTAAACTTCATTGATTTACTTCTACAAAAAACAGTTTGTGTAACCGACCAAGGTCGCCTGTGTCAGCAGTAAAATAAATATAACCAACATCACTGAATAACCTTCTAATAATATGACAAACTGAATTCAGTTTAAATTACAAATCATTGGATTCAAAATCGATGGTCTACCGACATTATTGCGTTTAATATAAGACTAGATTGTTCCATTTCTATCCTAAAGTAAAGTTTATGATTCTTAATTTTTTAAAGTTTCTAAAATAGAACAATTGATATCAACTTTTTAATCAAAACTAACTTTCAAGTTTTTAAACTATGTAACAAATTGAAGATGACCTGAAACAGAAGTACATACTTTCCAAATAAAAATAAACTGCAAACTCTTTCCTTTTACTATAAAACTTTCTATAACTAATCTAAATCAATCAATAAACATAAAACTATCTTCATGGTCTATACATTTGGATCGTTAAATGTACACTAAATAGATCAAATTAAAGATAATAAAAACAAGGTTTTAAGTAGTTTAAACAAGCTGATTGAATAATTTACAAACGTCTTACATTCACTTAAGGTATTTATATTGTATGAGTGAATTGAATCAAAAATAAACATATTACATAATCAGTACAAACACTTTAGGTATTACCTTACTAATGTAGTGAAGGAGAACACAGGTGAGGACAACCGAATTATATTTAGCATAAAATTACAGAGTTACTTGGTAAAATAGAAAAACCATACTACAATACTCAATTTGCAAAATGTTCCATAATCCTCTCGAACCTCATTGTTCTTGCATTTCTATACAAACTGCTTTCTATTCCCTATCTTCCTTTCTTGATCTTCCTCATCTTCTGCTGCCAGAAATTACATTCCTAACTCGCGTCATATACTACTTATATCAATATATGTAGCACGCACCACATTAACACTTATTAACCTTATTAACATTTAAAAATACAATTTACAATTCATTCTAACATTTAAAAAACAAAAAAAGTTTATTTTTTAACTATTTATATTGATTGATTATTGCATCATCCTTCCCCCCCCCCCGAAAAATTATTTTTTTCTACATTACTTATTGATTGTTTTGAATAGTGAAAAAAAATATTCTTTAATTTTTCAGTTATTATTCTCAGCGGATTTTTTTCTTAATTTCAGTAAAGAAAAATGAAAAAGAAAAGAAAGTTAGTCTGTCGTAGTTATAATTAAGTTTAATTGGACAATTTTATTAAAATTTATTATTGTAATCACTAGACTTTATTATGTAACATATGCAACAGCCGCGGCTGACCTCCTGTGACTACATCTCAGTCCTACAGGAGGTCAGTCGCGGCTCGGATAGCTCAGTGGTAACGTCTCTGACTGTGAAGCTGGGTGACACGAGATCGAATCCGCCAGGGAGCATCAGTTCCCTCAATATTACAGGTACACCCTGCTGACGAGTGCCAAGTAGCACGAAACCCGGGTTCAGGGTTTCCTGTTGACTACCTCCAACCACCATCTACTCAAAGATGGTTTCTATCAAAAAAACAGAGAGCGAGAAAAAGAGAGTTGTTAACGTTTCCCTGTCACTCCTAAATCTACAAATACTTAAACAGGCATCTTTAATTATTGTATCGAGTAGAAAAAAGAAACAGTGATACAATGAGTTGTACTTAATGGTTTACATTTTTTCTTTAGTCAAATGATAATGAAGTGAGATCTGTATCAAATTTCTATAGTTGTGACATCTTTTAAATGAGTTGGTTGATCTACACATTAAAATGTTATAAAGTTAGTCGCTAATTATTAGAGTTGAATGGAGTAGTCGCAGCATGATCGTTTTTTCTTATAACATGAACTAAATCTAAATGAGAATTTATGTTGAATTGACGAGATAGATATCTACCATAAGACCTGATGATTTTGAATTTCGTCTCTGACTATGAAGCTGGATGACACGGGATCGAATCCATCAAGGATCACAAGTTCCCTCAATATTACACGTACACCTTCCTGATAAGTGCCAAATAGCACGAAACGCGGGTCCAGGGTTTCCTGTTGACTACCTCCAACCACCATCTAATCTCAACTTAGTGAACGCAATTTCGAGTCATCTAGACTAGTAGCCACATTGCAACTAGGTCTACAGCATTCGATCTGCACTATGAAGGATTTGGCACACATTACATTGATTACCACCCAGTGATCAATCAATTATGATTACATTATAGGTCCTGGGTTCGAATCCTGAGAGGCGGGGTCGTGGGTGTGCACCGTCGAGGAGTTCCACAATAGGACGAAACGGCTTTGGAGTTCTTCCAGGTTTTGCATGGTGGTCTAGCTTCGATTGACTCATGATCTCAACTGTTTAAATTTTATTATTATTATCATTATTATTATTATTATTAGAGATTATTTTATGCTTCAATAAATTTTGTATTCAAAGCTGGTTAATTACCCCCTTTTCTATTTGTTTATCTATCGATCAGTCTACCTGATATGCTTTCCTTGATTATCTATCTATCTAACTATCTATCTATCTATCTATCCATTTATCTTTATCAACCAATCTATACTAACCATTAACATCCTCTTGATGAAGACTACTGGCATTTATATACATATAAACATTTGTAGTCATGACAAAAAAGGTGACAAACTCGAGATTTCTATGGGACTATTCTTTATTATTATTATTGTTATTATTTTAAATTAAGAGTTTCTTTTTTAATTTCTTACAATTATCGAAATGGATAAGTGAGGAATTCATTTAATTTAAAAAAGAAAAACTTCTCTAATAGATGAAAATGTAATACAAGAAAGTAAAATAGATGAGATTGTAAGCAATGATGGATAGTGGCTAGCAGTGGAATCCAGGACGCGCGTTTCGTCCTATTTGGGACTCGTTAGCTGGATCAATTGCAGTCTTAAACCTCAATGGGAAGATACAAGTCAAACAATACCAAGTGAATTTAGATTTTTGTTAGTGTGTATGTTTAATTAAATTACATCCTGTATTCTATTGGTTCTTGGAAAAAAAATTTGAATAAAAGTTTCGAATAAGAGAAAGAGCTTAGAAACAAAGAAACTATTTAATTTATTAGTAGTGATTAGGAATATTTTTGTTAGGTTCGAAACTTAGATGGTACTGTAGTGAACGAGAATACCAATGGGGACAAATCAACGCATTTAAACGCAAAATTACAAAATCTCTTAGTAAAATCTGAGTACCATACACTAAATACTTCATTTGCAAAATGTCAATCAGTTGTCTCAGACTTGATTGTTTCTTCGTTCTCACACCAATCATTCTTTGCTCTCGTTCTTTTTTCTTCGATCTTCTTAACCTTGTGCCGCCAAGCATTTCACTTTCGATTGATGATACATACTACTTATATCTGTCGGCGTCAGTAGCAAACACTACAGTACTACTTTATTTGTTTAAAAATTACGAAATGACATTACAAAACACTAGTAGACTAAACTTGAATTACTGGATATCAACCAATCAGCTAAACTAAAGAGTCAATGGAGATAAAGTGGAATGATATTGCATATACATTATCTATTGGGACATCTTGACTACCAAACTGAGAACGGATATTTCTTAATGAAGTGTCCGAAAAAAGGCGTTTGTGTTAGAAGTATTATTGATCGAAGATTTTGACCAAATAGTTCAAGCGATAACCAACAGTGATTAATCAATTACCACTATTAGTAAACTATTAGTCTAATCTTTTCAAATATTGCAATCAACATCATTAATTTGTGGAACAAGGGGAATGTATTAATTATAAGATGGATTATTTTGAATCTTGGTTAACGTTTTCTTCTTCAAGGTTGTTTCTACGGGGTGGGGTCGCTAAACCATTCTCGATTATCTGAGCTTGGGACTGACAGTAACACTAGAAGGGCTTCAAATGGTTAACATCAGAGTAAGAATTGCTAATACAAACATCAAGACAGTTCTGTTGTATAGAGCTGAAAGTTAGAGAACTACCACGAATAATATTGGAAACGTACAGGTATTTATGAACAGTCGCCTACGCAAGATATTCCAGATCATTCAATCAAACACAACCACTGTAGCAGAGAGAAATCCAGATTCCAGATGGAAACAAAATTAAGAAAAGACACTGAAGGTGATTGAGACAAGTACTACAAAAATCATCAAACTGAATCCCAAACCAAGCCCTAACTCGAAATCCTCAAAACATGAAGAAAAGAGGAAGATGAAAGAACACACTACACCGAGTATTGAAGGCAAACATCCAAAAAGTGGACAGCACATGGAAACAGTTAGGAAGAAGAGCCCAGGACAATGTTGGCTGGCGAATCCTGGCCGGCGGCTTATGCTCCACGAAGGGTAACAGGTAAATGTAAGTAACTTCAAATTCTATATGCCGTCCACAGGAAAATAGCATAGTTATATCTTCTTATCATCTGTGTGAAATACCTCACTAATCTAACACCTTGCCTACCTCTTACCTCGAACTTCACTTCCAATGCTTCTGTTACTGGCACTCAATAACCTTAATCAAATATAAAGTCATCGCGTTTCAGTCGACTACATATCATAATAGATTCCAATATGAAAAAAGGTAATATCTAATCGAAACATTAATTCCTTATAACACGTATTTCTATGACACGGTCAAGATTGTAGTACGATTGAGTATCTAGAGTCTAAAATGTGTAGATAGTATTCATCAATGATTGATAGTCGTTGATATGCCATTGAAAATCCGGAAGCATTCTGTATGAATATATACATCCACAAACATACAGCTTCCTTTGATAGTGATAAAAAAATAGTACCATCATACTATATACACTAA